AGAAGTTGCAACATGGAAAGGCTGTTATGTGGGGCGTATCTCGCTACTCCCAATCCATGCTTGCACTTCTGGTTTGGGATTACACTATTGAAAACATATAATTTTGAATAAAGTTTGGGGATTAGGTGTGAATAGATGATGATGAGGCAAAACACTAATAATAATAAACAGCTCTGTTGTTGATCAGTGTATGATGTGATAATGAGGATGAAAGGTTGATGATGAAGTGGTGATGATGATATGATGATTACAATGCTGAATATGTGTTACTGCTGATGATGATATGATAGTGATGATGATGATGATGATGACGATATGGTGATGATCATGATAATGAAGTGATGATGATACGATGATCATGATGATAACTATGATGATGATGATGATGATGATGATGACAGCAGTCATTGAATTTGTATTATTATTGGGGCTTGTGAATGAAACACAGTAGTACATTGTATGTCATGTCAGCAAAGAGGAAAGAGTAGGAAATAATGAGTGCATGTTTTGAGTGAGTGTACATGGGTGTGGTGTGATGTGTGCTAGGGTGTGTATGTGTATGTGAGTCTAGTATATATCGTGTGTTGCATACCTTTGTAAAATCTTGAAAAACAAAAAAAAAAAAAAAAAACATTAATTAGTATGAACATTTCTGTCATTGACCAATCAATTGACACAATAGAATATTGTTGACGAGAACATCATCAATCAAACTAAAATTCTGGTTACACAGTAATAATTTTAACGAATATGGCTTTTTATTTAGATATCTTGCAAACATGTGTAAGTCATTGTATTTCCCAGATCAGACAACTAAAACAAATTTTAGTGTTGATCCACAAAGTTACTAAAATAGACCAATACCAGCGGTATCCATATTTGTACGCTGTGGTGTAGTAATGATTTTTAGGATCAATATCAACACTCTTTTCAGGATGTAGTCAATTGATCTTATTGTTTTCTTATTAAAGCCGATGTTGTCTGTGTAGCAGACTTTTGGGCAGAAGCAACATCTGATCAACATCTGGCTCACATATAAATTGGCTATGTATGATACAGGATGACAAAAGCATGACTTAACAAGCTCTATATAGGCTGATCTGATCATGATGTCCACTTGTCGACCACAGTCTCTTCCATTTGACTTTCACAGTTTAGCTGAAATCATAAGATATGGACTGAAGAACTATTGTGTAAAATGTATATGTACATTGTTTATACAACTACATGTATATCCAAGATCAATTTTTAAGAATGTTTTAATCAAATGAAATTATGTTTCCATAAAGTCATATTCTAAATGTTTGAAGAACAAATCATTTCAAAGTGAAACCTTGTAGGTCACGATTTATGTCTTCTAATGAGCATTGTGAAAGGGATATTGGAATATTACTCTAGATCCAATTACCTGTAGTGATGATTAATGAAATCAATTATGATCAACTTTGAAAATGAAAGTGGCGAAATTTCCCTGTAGCGATGCATATCATGTCTTTATTGAAGTAGTCAGGGTATAATGTTCATGTATACAGCTGTGTTTTATTTCTGGATGTGTGAACAGAAACTGACATTCACTGTGTGATCTGGTCAGAAGCATCTAATTAATTAGGGGTGCTGATGTATAGCTCTGAGTGTTTCTTAAAGCCTCCAGTTAAATCTCATACAGGTTTTGCTGACTTATTGAGCTTTTCCTTATAGGGGTTTGGCTATGAATTTTCGTAATTTTATATTTCAGTTGAAAAAAATGTTATAATGTATTTAGTTCATGGTATACCATCTCTGGCACACAGACAAGCCCCTGAGAAGTGGTCCCACCTCCATCAGCTTAGTCTGGTGAATGTGCATATTTTGAAGATGGAACAAGGTCATGTGATGCATGACGTCAAAATATCATTAAGGAGATAGTGAGATTATATTTACTTGACAAGACAAGCCCACACAAGTCATGGCTATATTCATTCACCTATGTTCAAAGTTGTTTTACAGTGAGACCTAACTTTCTATATAGTGAATTATTTATGTAACTGAGCTTTGATAAAAATACTTTTTAGTTTCATATTGGTATAAAAGAAAAACCTTTTTGCAAACTTCTCATGAATATGCTATGCACATTCATTCAGTTTGCAAATAGGTTTCTCTTTTATACCAGTATGAAACTAGAAAATATTCAAAACCTTATAATTCATTTCTTAATAGGTTTCGAATGCAAAAATAACAAATCAATGTATGAATTTGATAATTTAATCAAGGATTATTTTAAAACAAATCGTTACACATAACAGCTTGTGTGACATGATGTGATGTCATTGACAGCTAATTTGTACCATTTTCAGCCTTTGAAATCCACGAATCGGCCCATCAGATTCCAACCGGAAATGTATGAAAATATTAACGTGTTTTCCCCTCATTAAATCTGTCATTTATTCATTGTTTATTGTTTGTGTACATATTTTATGATGTTGTAGTCTGTTTTTTGTTCACATCATTTAGATTTTCCATTCATACATAAAAAAAGTTCCAACAGACCTGCCGCAAGGTTGCATGTTGTCAGTGACTCCTCCAATCATCATCAAGTAGAGACAGCTAGATGTTGTTTTTTTTCTTTGGGAAATATAAAGAAAAAACCAAAGAATCAGAACGCTGCATTTCGCACATAAACAACAACAAAAATTAATTATTGAGGTATGAAAGCAAAAAATGTTTTGAAAGGGACATAACAACAGAACAAGTCTATATGCAGATTTACATACCAAGAAGAATTGCTAGAATAATGACAGTTAATTGTGATTGTAATTTTCTTATTTTGTACTTTATTTTGTGGCAGCATTTCACATAGGGGTATACCCTTAGTATCACTTCAAAATCAGAAATCATCAGTAAAGACTGAATAGGTAACTATTGTCATATTTCAATATTTGCTCTCAGTAACAATTTGTGGCAGCATTCCACATAGGGGTATACCCTTAGTATCACTTCAAAATCAGAAATCATCAGTAAAGACTGAATAGGTAACTATTGTCATATTTCAATATTTGCTCTCAGTAACAATTTGTGGCAGCATTCCACATAGGGGTATACCCTTAGTATCACTTCAAAATCAGAAAACATCAGTAAAGACTGAATAGGTAACTATTGTCATATTTCAATATTTGCTCTCAGTAACAATTTCTGGCAGCATTTCACATAGGGGTATACCCTTAGTATCACTTCAAAATCAGAAATCATCAGTAAAGACTGAATAGGTAACTATTGTCATATTTCAATATTTGCTCTCAGTAACAATTTGTGGCAGCATTCCACATAGGGGTATACCCTTAGTATCACTTCAAAATCAGAAAACATCAGTAAAGACTGAATAGGTAACTATTGTCATATTTCAGTATTTGCTCTCAGTAACAAAGTAAAATAACCAAATCAAAGTGTAATTTTATTATAATTATTGAACTGGTGTACAAAAGGGGAAGTTTTTTTATGTGACAGGTTTTTCCAAATGATGTTAGTATCTTTTATGAACCTAATGCCAGGGAAAAAAAAAAAAAACAGAATGTTTTGAGGTCCACTGAGCTGACATGTACAAAGTTTCCCCCACTTTTACAACCACACAATAAATCCAATACAATACATATATATATATATATCAGCCATCAGCCAGTTCACCCTGCCTTGGAGATAGTTTTATAAAAATGACTTCTGTATTTACAATTACTTTACTCTGATAATTTCATGTACATGTGAAAATTGAAATTCGAATTTGTGTATATACTATGAAAACATTTTCGTACTACCAGTCAAAGCATATGATGGACGTCAGTATTAAAAAAATTTCAGGAAATTTGTACAACTCTAAAAATCCATCAGGTTATTTACTTTATCTGTTATTGAACTATCACAGGGATTGATATTTTTGTATGTCAGTTAGTCCTAGATACCTGCTCTGGCTTATGTAAGGACTCATGTATATTGGATGGAACTGATCACATGTAAATAATCACATGTAAATACCTATATCACAAAACAATTTTATACATCAGAAAGTGATGATCTGAAAGCTTCTTTATTACATGTATAATTATATTCCATGTTATATCAAAAAGTGATTCTATAACAGTATCAGCTGTTCTCACCAATAACATCCAGAGATGTATGTAAATGTATAGATTTATGATACTGTGGTGTAGTTTTGCCACAGATTGTGTCTTATCGAAACAGTTTTATTGGCTCAAGTTTATATAGAACTGTATGTAGTGTTAAGGTAATGTAGAATTTCACGGTCAGTCAAAAGTATTGCAAAAACAGATCATAGAGAGAAGTGTATGCCTTCTACAATACTGTTTACATATTAGACACGGTCAGTCAGGGTTATAGTTTAACCATAATTACCTGTACCACATGACTGGTCACCTCATTAGATTTGTCACTCATGCATGATTACCTGGTAGTACTTTCCACTAGTTAACATTAGGTACCAGGACATATTTGAGCTGCACCATATTGGTGGTAGTACTATTTTAATGATGATGAAACAAAATTTAACAAAAACCAAAACATAGACAAGACCCTTTAAAGATATAATTCTAGGATCTCAAGATTTGTTAAGATAAAAAAAAACATTACATGTGAACCCTTCTTAACCATCAGCAAACATATTTATAAAATGTAATATTCTTCAATATGGAAAAAAGATCAAGAAAGCCATCAATGAAAACAGAAGTTTTAGATGTAAAATTTAATATTTTATTAAATTTGAGTTTATGCAAGAAACTGTTTTCCTTCTTTAGCTTCCTGTTTCAATCGTAATTTATCTTATTTCTGTTTGTTCATTTATGTGTCGTATCTTTATGCAAATTAGTATGCTAATGAGTGTTTTTCCTTATCTTTAACCAATCATCAATTACTCTTTAGAGGGGTATTGGTATTGGTTCCATTAAGTTTTTCAGCGTTGAGGAGAATGAGGAGCATTTTATTTTGTGCCTTAAATTTTACCTATTGAAAAGCTATTACTTCACTTTTGTGGCCAAGTTTGCGCATACGATCTTTATGCAGTTGTGAGTTTAACGTTGCGTGATTTCAGAAGCGCTGAACTTGTTACTGTTCTCCCTTTTTAGGATTTCTTATCTATCAGTCGGATACTCCGATCATTCGCCATTTTGGATTTTCCATCGACAATTCCAGTGTCAATACTTTGTACTACCATTCGCTGTCGTGAGCTGTGTTGTGTGACAATTCCCGATCTGGTGTATTTACCTGCGCCTGGATTAATAGGAGTATCATAAACAACCACCTCACAACTATTAGTGTTGAAGAACTTCCGTGTCAGAGGTGAGGGTCGGTTCCATTGTTCAATGATGGCTACGAAACGTGGGCGTAAATCTAACAGAACAGTTCCTTACGATCCGGAATTTGTAGAAAATTGGACAATCGCTCGATTACAACAAGAACTTCATTTATTGAATGTGCCCTACCGGAGTGGTTCTAAGCGTATGGAACTTGTTAAAAAATTGAAGGAGGCACAAGCGGCCCTGAGAGGTGCGGTATCCCAGCATGCCCCGAGCGACGCGATTGCATCCCATGATGCTCCGAGACAAGATGGCCGCCAGACCGGAAGTCCGGAACGGGCAGATTCTACCAGCTTACGAAACATGATTTCCAGCTTAGCAGACAGTGTTAACACTCTCCAGAACTGTTATTGCAGGTTGGAGAATAGCGTACTCACGCTCACTCAGTCTAGATCTGTGCAACCTACTTCTGCTGCCGCTGCAGGTAGTTCTCGTCAAATGGCGACTGATGGTATCCGAGCCCCGACTCCTACCACCCATGTAGCCTATTCGCCGTTGATGCATCCCGGTTCGACATTGGCGGCGGTCACAGAAGAATTTACACTGGACAGTGCGTATCGGAAACTTCAAGAGGAAAGTATTCCTTCCGGCGATTCAGCAGGTATTTTCTCCTATAAGCGTACCCAATATGGGTACACCTCCGAATCCTTACCGCTAGTAGAAACAATATCTCCCTCATTGCGCCAACAGATTATAACCGGGAAAGATGTTAATTTGGCTGCTATCCTTATTCCGTACTACAGTGGTCAAAGTGACTCAAGCTTAGGTATTAACGAGAAACAGGACGCTAGGCTCAACAGAACTCTTACTCTAAGCGAATTCATTTTAGCTTTTAGCGTTTATAAACAAGTCATGTGTTCCACTCACCCACATCGCCGAGTTGAGCTTGACATGTACGAGCGAGATATCGTAGACATGGGAACCAGATACAGCTCCGGGTTCTATGAATATCATCGACAGTTTTCGTTGAAGGCAGCAGCCCATTTACGTTTCAATAACCGGAAAATAGATTGGTCCGTTCGGGATAATACCTTGTTCTGCAACATATTTGCCAATTTAGTTCCAGTTTCGTGTTCAATGTGTGGTAGCACTGCACATACTACAAAATTTTGCCCCAACCCAGGCCAGGATAAGCGACAGAGTAGCAGTGGTTTCTCTGGGAACAGCCAGTTTCGTCAAAATAAAGGGCAAGTGTCTATGGCTTCTGACTCAAAAGGCAGACCCAGAGTTGTTTTTGAGGGGCGAGAGATTTGTAACAATTTCAATGGTAGATTTGGTTGTTCTTCCAATCTTTGCAATAACCTTCACATCTGTCTAACCTGTAAGGCAAGCCACACAAAAGTAGCCTGCCCTTTAGAGAGCCGTCAGCCTCAAAAGAAGACATCTTAGCCCTCCATCACCATGATCCTATGACAGCTTCTACCCCAATATGTGTTGAGGCTTTACATTCCAAACTTCAAGGACACCCTGATCAGCAATTTGTTAATAAGTTAATGCATGGTCTAACTCACGGCTTTGACACTGGTCTACAACACCTTCCTATTAACTCCATAGTGTGTAAAAACTTGAGGTCAGCTATCAGTGACCCAGGAAGTGTTTCAGAGTTGTTGGAGAAAGAACTAAATAAAGGATACTTAATAGGTCCTTTTGACAATATTCCCTATTCCAGGTACCGCATCAACCCGTTAGGCTTAGCTGAACATAAATATTCGAAGAAAAAGCGTTTAATTGTTGATTTATCCGCTCCACATCAAGACACAAACAATCCTAGCCTAAATAGTCTAATTGATAAATTAACTTGCTCGCTGAAGTATGTTACAGTAGATGATGCTATACATCTTATTAAGCGCTGTGGCCTCGATGCATGGCTAATGAAGACCGATATCACTGATGCCTTCAAGCTGATACCAATTGATCCCGTTTTGTGGCCTTACCACGGCGTCAAGTGGAACAACAAATATTATTTCTTTACGCGCCTCGTATTTGGATGTCGTTCAAGCCCAAAAATTTTCGATAGCCTTTCTCGGGCAGTTTGTTGGATAGCTAAGAACAAGTACAATATTCGTAACATTCTTCACTTGCTAGATGATTTCATAGTTATTGAACCAGCTTATGTCAATGCATCTCTTACTATGGAACGTTTTATGTCTATGTTCAAGGAATTAGGCATCCCTGTAGGTGCGCATAAAACTGTAGGCCCTTGTACATCACTCGAATACCTTGGTGTGTCCCTAGACTCTCATCTGAGGGAATGTCGTCTTCCACGTGAAAAAGTGGAAAGAATTATTGAGTTTTTGGATTCTTTCAAGAGAAAAAAGTCTTGTACCAAACGCGAGTTGCTCAGCTTGCTAGGTCACATGAACTTTGCCGGTCGGTGTATTAGACCGGGGCGTTCTTTTGTCTCTCATCTCATATCGCTTTCTACTACAGTGCGCGAGCTACATCATCATGTGAAAATCAGCAATGAGTGTCGATCAGACCTTTACATGTGGTCGTTCTTTTTGAAGAATTGGAATGGCAAATCCTTTTTTCTGGATGATCATATCACATCAGCAGCTGACCTCCATCTTTTTACCGATGCTACATCTGAATCTTTCGGGGGAATCTACCTTAACCAGTGGTTTCAAGGTTTTTTTCCTAGTGAACTTAAAGCCATGGACACATCTATGGCCCTCTTTGAGCTATACCCTATTGTTATGGCTTGTGTGTTGTGGGGTCACCAGTGGCATAAAAAACGTATTCTTTTTCATTGTGATAATTTAGCTACGGTAGACATAATCTGCAAAGGGAGATCCAAAGTGTCCAGCATTATGTGTCTTATGCGAAAACTTACATACTATTCTGCCGTGCATAACTTTGTGATTCATGCAGTCCATGTACCTGGTAAGCAAAACAACATTGCAGACGCCATCTCTCGTTTTCAGATGTGCAAATTCAGACAGCTGGCACCTCAAGCAGATGTACTACCAATTCCATGTCTGCCTATGGCCTCATTGATGATGAGCTGAATACAGCGGTTGATAGTTTATGGAACCATGCCCTTAGTGAGAAGACTCTGGCTACTTACAAGTCCGGTTTGAACTGTTTTGTGACATTTCTGGTTATGAGGGGAATTGCATGTGCTGCTAATTCCCTTCCCATTGTTGATGAAGATTTACTTATATTTTTTGTGACATACTGCCAGGAAGCTTTATGCTTGAAGTTCGACACTATTAAACTCTATTTAGCTGGCATAAGGTTTCATTACATCAAGTTAAACTTGGGGGACCCTCTCGCAAACACCATGCGGTTAAATTACATCTTGCGGGGCATTAAAAGAACTCAGGTTAATTTTTCCAATAAGCGATTGCCTATAACCTTTAAGTTGCTTAATCATATGTGTATAACTATTTCTAGTAGTCAAGGATTGTTTGAACCATTTGTCAAAAAAATGCTATGCTGTATTTTTCAAACAGCTTTTTATGGTTTTTTGAGATGTGGAGAATTTACCTGTAGGAAACTCGGTGACCAATCATACCTTCGTCTTAGTGATGTCCATGTTCTACCAGATAAGTCCAGTTTCATTTTGTATTTACGTTCTTCAAAAATGGATCCTTTTGGTAAAGGCGTTCACATAAGAATTTTTGATAATGAGGTTTTACATCCTGTGTTGACTATGGTAAATTATTTAAAGGTCAGACATTCTCTCGGGGCAACTCCTACTTGCCCTTTGTTCATCGAGGACTTATTTAAGTCCAAGCCTTTAATGCGTCATACCTTTATTTCTTACCTTAAAGCCTGCCTGTCCCTCATAGGTGTGAATAGTAAAGATTTCAACGGTCATTCTTTCAGAATTGGTGCCGCCACTTCTGCAGCAGCGGCCGGAGTCCAAGACGTTGTTATTAAAGTCTTGGGACGATGGTCATCAGATTGTTTTATTCGGTACATTCATACTAATCCAGCCACTTTACAGTCGGCTCAACTCAATATGACTGTTTCTTAACCTTTATCCCTTATCAATTGGGGGCTCTCGCTCGTAAGCTCATTTACTCGCTCATTTTTGGCTTTTAAATTCCGGAGGAATTTCATCCCCCAATTTTAAAATCTCCTTTTATTTTTAGCTTGTTTCATACATGTCATTCAAAAAATTTTAATATATTAGATGTGTGTAAATTGGGGTCAAACTTCTTAACAGGGTCCTTTCATGAGTCAAGTCACTGCTCTGTAACGGTTCAGAGTCCAGAGTCTTCTCATTGGTTACCTTGGAGTCAAGTTTGTCCTAGTATTATACTAGCTGCTCTGTGAGTCAGTGTCAGAGTCAAGTCACTTCTCTAGAACCGTCAGAGTCTCTTAGAGTCAAGTACTTCTCTATACTCTTACAGAGTCTAGTCCTATCATTCCTGGCTTCTCTGGCATCAGCGAGTCAAGTTGCTTCTCTGTTCATCAGAGTCAAGTGATTTCTCCTGTTCCGGAGTCAAGCACAGTTCACTTTACTTCGCTTCTCTGATTCACAGAGTCAAGCTTGTCGCAAGTAAGTTTTCAATAGTTTGCTTATGAGTGAGTAGCCCCCGATACGCCAAAGAGTTAGTTACGCCCAAGAAATTGTTTTGGCTACAGAAGACTTCTCAACATTATTAATAAACAGCTTTATTAGTAGTCAAGTCTTGCATTGTTTTTTGTATAAAATGTAAAATTTAATATTTTATTAAATTTGAGTTTATGCAAGAAACTGTTTTCCTTCTTTAGCTTCCTGTTTCAATCGTAATTTATCTTATTTCTGTTTGTTCATTTATGTGTCGTATCTTTATGCAAATTAGTATGCTAATGAGTGTTTTTCCTTATCTTTAACCAATCATCAATTACTCTTTAGAGGGGTATTGGTATTGGTTCCATTAAGTTTTTCAGCGTTGAGGAGAATGAGGAGCATTTTATTTTGTGCCTTACCCACCCGCCATCCCCTTCATCACCTTTAGGAAAGATGTTTGTATGTTTAACTTGTATGTACCTGTTCATTGTTTAGCTTTTATTACAAATGTATTTAGTTCTTCTTTATTTGCAAATGTTTGTATTTTTAATGATATTTTAGTTGGGGCTACTCACTCTTGTTGGGGTTTATGTTGACTTTTTAACTCTTCTCCCCATCAATTTAAAATCCCTATTTAAAAATTTTTATTTATTTATTTATTTTTTTTTTTTTTTTTTTGTTAGCTTCTTTATTGTTGTCATTAATATAATTTACTATATTGGATATGGGTAAATGGGGGTCAAACTTTTAAATTCCGGAGGAAGGCTTTTAAATTCCGGAGGAATTTCATCCCCCAATTTTAAAATCTCCTTTTATTTTTAGCTTGTTTCATACATGTCATTCAAAAAATTTTAATATATTAGATGTGTGTAAATTGGGGTCAAACTTCTTAACAGGGTCCTTTCATGAGTCAAGTCACTGCTCTGTAACGGTTCAGAGTCCAGAGTCTTCTCATTGGTTACCTTGGAGTCAAGTTGTCCTAGTATTATACTAGCTGCTCTGTGAGTCAGTGTCAGAGTCAAGTCACTTCTCTAGAACCGTCAGAGTCTCTTAGAGTCAAGTACTTCTCTATACTCTTACAGAGTCTAGTCCTATCATTCCTGGCTTCTCTGGCATCAGCGAGTCAAGTTGCTTCTCTGTTCATCAGAGTCAAGTGATTTCTCCTGTTCCGGAGTCAAGCACAGTTCACTTTACTTCGCTTCTCTGATTCACAGAGTCAAGCTTGTCGCAAGTAAGTTTTCAATAGTTTGCTTATGAGTGAGTAGCCCCCGATACGCCAAAGAGTTAGTTACGCCCAAGAAATTGTTTTGGCTACAGAAGACTTCTCAACATTATTAATAAACAGCTTTATTAGTAGTCAAGTCTTGCATTGTTTTTTGTATAAAATGGGGATTATACGTTGATGTTGTGTCTGCAGTAAGCCTATAGTTGTCCAACACATTAATTAAACTCAAGGTCAGAGGAAGGATTTATCACAGCTCAGAGAAAGTCAAGTAGCATCAGTTAATAATTCTGCTGAAAAAGACATGGATGGGCTTATAACAACTATACATATACATGTATCTGGTTAATTTTACTATTCAGCATGGCATACTTAACAACAATTTCATGTGTGAAATAGTAAGAAACTTGTAAATTTCAACTGCAATATACATCAGGGTTTTTCCTGGGACCCTCAAATTTATTAATCTTAAGAGTTCATGGACTTGTATCATATGAAATAGAGTAAAACTTTATCAATTTTGGGATTGTTTGTCAGTTGAAGGAGTCAAAATGAAGGTTTTTGAGAGTTAGGGAAAACCCTGAAAGACTGTTTAGAAGATATCTTCTGATGGTAAGATGATAAAAAGGTACCATAACCAGAAGACTTGATGGTCTCCAATCATCCAAGGGTATTTCGACAATACAGTGATACATGATACAGATTATTTGTTAATGGTACAGAATATGTATATCTATGTGTATCTATCATTGAATATTACCAGTGCTTGACTCATAAGACTGATATTACTGAAAATTTATGTACTAGTATTCTCTTATACATTGAAATTGCAAAATTAAAATTGGTTAAAGTTAAATTCTGTCAATTTAATAATCAACTTTACAGTGATTACTAAGCATGTGCTTATTGTGTGGAAAATGCAGTACAATAGCATTGACTGTAATATAAAGAGCTTCCAGTTCCAAGTTCTCTATCTTATCTATATACTTGTTGTTAACAGTTTCAGAAAAAAAAATGAAAAAAAAAACATTGTAAGCTTATATATAATTGACCATCTTCCAAACATGAAATGGTTATAGGTTGTTCATACATCTTAAATTGATAAAGACTTTGGTCATTTCACATGAGTCATCTGTACAAAGAAACTCCAAATACTTCTACCTAACAGATCCTCAGATTTGCTAGGTGCTGTATGCATATGGCTGTGAATGAGACTTTTACATTCTGCAGGAGACAACTATTATTGATTAAAATTTCAGTTGTGTAGATATATTTTGAAAAAGAATTAGCTAATAGATTTGTTTTTAAAAGAATGGAAGCACAATAATTTGATGGTAGAACAGGTAATGTCTTATTACAGTATATAAAAATAGCATCATGTTACTGCAGGTCTGGAGATGTAGCTCGGGAATGCTGTTGTCTTTTTATAATAGGGTCTTTGTGATAGGTAAATGTGCTTCATTAAGTTTGTTATAATTCCACTGTGTACTAGATATGCACAGGTTATTGTTACAAGACAAGATTAACACTACAATAAAATGTTACTTACCACAGTTATTGGGTCACTCCATTGCACTTATTGGGTCATTCCATTGAATGTCATTGAACACCTTTTGTTACACCTAAGTGAAAAATGTGTGACTGCAGTAAAATAAGTGAGAGTGGTAACAGACTTATTGTGTCAATCTCATGGTCAATAAACATGCCACATATAACACACTTATTGTGTCAATCTCATGGTCAATAATCATGCCACAGATAACACACTTATTGTGTCAATCTCATGGTCAATAAACATGCCACATATAACACACTTATTTTGTCAATCTCATGGTCAATAATCATGCCGCAGATAACACACTTATTGTATCAATCTCATGGTCAATAAACATGCCACATATAACACACTTATTGTATCAATCTCATGGTCAGTAAACATGCCACATATAACACACTTATTTTGTCAATCTCATGGTCAATAAACATGCCACATATAACACACTTATTTTGTCAATCTCATGGTCAATAATCATGCCACAGATAACACACTTATTGTATCAATCTCATGGTCAATAAACATGCCACATATAACACACTTATTTTGTCAATCTCATGGTCAATAATCATGCCACAGATAACACACTTATTGTATCAATCTCATGGTCAATAAACATGCCACATATAACACACTTATTGTGTCAATCTCATGGTCAATAATCATGCCACAGATAACACACTTATTGTGTCAATCTCATGGTCAATAAATATGCCACATATAACACACTTATTGTGTCAATCTCATGGTCAATAATCATGCCACAGATAACACACTTATTGTGTCAATCTCATAGTCAATAATCATGCCACAGATAACACACTTATTGTATCAATCTCATGGTCAATAATCATGCCACATATAACACACTTATTGTGTCAATCTCATGGTCAATAATCATGCCACAGATAACACACTTATTGTGTCAATCTCATGGTCAATAAATATGCCACATATAACACACTTATTGTGTCAATCTCATGGTCAATAATCATGCCACAGATAACACACTTATTGTGTCAATCTCATAGTCAATAATCATGCCACAGATAACACACTTATTGTATCAATCTCATGGTCAATAATCATGCCACATATAACACACTTATTGTGTCAATCTCATGGTCAATAATCATGCCACAGATAACACACTTATTGTGTCAATCTCATGGTCAATAAATATGCCACATATAACACACTTATTGTGTCAATCTCATGGTCAATAATCATGCCACAGATAACACACTTATTGTGTCAATCTCATAGTCAATAATCATGCCACATATAACACACTTATTGTGTCAATCTCATGGTCAATAAACATGCCACATATAACACACTTATTGTGTCAATCTCATGGTCAATAAACATGCCACATATAACACACTTATTGTGTCAATCTCATGGTCAATAAACATGCCACATATAACACACTTATTGTGTCAATCTCATGGTCAATAAATATGCCACATATAACACACTTATTGTGTCAATCTCATGGTCAATAATCATGCCACAGATAACACACTTATTGTGTCAATCTCATGGTCAATAATCATGCCACAGATAACACACTTATTGTGTCAATCTCATAGTCAATAATCATGCCACAGATAACACACTTATTGTGTCAATCTCATGGTCAATAAACATGCCACATATAACACACTTATTGTGTCAATCTCATAGTCAATAATCATGCCACAGATAACACACTTATTGTGTCAATCTCATGGTCAATAAACATGCCACATATAACACACTTACTGTGTCAAAAATGTGTAAATATATCACTTTTAGTACACTTATTGTGTCACTCCAGGAAATAAAATACACTTATAATATAACCCTGTAAAAAAACAAAACAATGACATAATCTTCCAGATTTCTCATCCTTAATGAACCAACATGTTAATGTATTGGCTTATTACTTTGGCCTTATTGGCAGATATGAGTGAAGATGGTAATAAGATAATGTATAACTGTGGGAATTCTCTATGATGTTTGCGTGGTGTGTCAATGAATATGGACACCTGACAGTATTTTACTAAGATATGGAGTGCCTGCCAAATTTCCCTGGGCTAATACCAAGTCTATAGCTTGGAAAAATGTTATATAATAAAGAAGGGTGAAGGGGATTTAAATGTTTATTATCTTTAAGGCACTTGGACATTAGAATGGCTGCAGATATAGAGAATTCAATCTCATCTTTTCAAATAGACAGAACTGGGAGCCCTCAAGATCTATCATCTACGACAGAAGGAATGGATAGCTCCAACTTGTCATTTTCAGATGAAAGAACTGACAGTGTTGTTTTGTCACCAGATCCCAAAACAGAGATAATTGAAACACCTACTTTATCATTTGAAATGGAAAAAATATCCTCTTTTGTGCTTTCAAGTCCTGAATTACCATTTCAGATGGAAGCGATTATAAAGTGTATGCAACAGGAGGATAAAGGCATACCCAGTAAGAACAGAAAGAATACTGCCACACAACTTGGGGTGCACAAGAAAGTATTTACTGGTAAGTTTGTTTATAGTTTGATCTTAAGGATGTACACCTCTGAGAAGTAAAAATATGTGGTATTAAATTTTTGTCCTGGTGATGGTCTTTAAAAAGGTTAGATTTTAGGTAGTAATTGAAAACAAAAAAAGAAAAGGGTATGTTGCTTTTCTGATAGAGTGTCAAATTATGAGTGAGAGGAAATAATTCATTTTCACATGTCATTCTTATTTTTTTTCCAGAATGACAGACATTTTTTGTTGTTTTCACGGCAACTTTTACTAAAAGAAATGTTTGTCTTTCATTAGGGGGCATTAACATGAAACTTGGATGTTATGGGAAAAAAAATAGTGTGAAATGTTAAATCATTCAATTGATTTATGATAAACTTAAAACTGCGTAGTGACCAAAAAAGGAAAATTTTGGGAAAAAATAACATGAATCCTTTATTTAAATATCTTCTAGTATTTAACTTTTTCAAAGACTTTTGCATGGATAGAGCATGATTGCTGAAAGGGGGTCACAGTTCTCACTCAAATAGCAGGGTTTTCCAAGATCTTGAAAAAAACTGACATACTTGTTTTTAGGTAAAATAAACGTAGTCAGCAAGCTAGAATTCTTCTGAATGTTGTAAAAAGCACTCAGCTTTAAAGTAAAGCTTTAGATAGTAAAGTATATAAAAACACAAAAGTCCAAGACAATTTGTTGTAATTTATGTTATATTTAATTCTGACCAACTTGTGGTCAAACATCAGTGGAGTACATCCTTAATGGAGTGTCATGTTGAGCTGCAGTTTCTGTATTGATATAGCTAAAAGTTTCTAGTCATATAGGGAGCAACATTAGCGCTACCATATAATGCTTCCATTTCAGTGATTTGTTAACCAAGTTGAATGAAACAGTCCTGATAGGCCATGTCATCTATACCGTTATACTCTTTACAACTAGATAATGATGGTGTAGTCAATACTGAAATAAATCTAATTGTCCAGTATAAATATTTCATGCATAGGTCAACACTATAGCTCAGTTAAGTGAATGTTTTTTTCTAGGACATTGTCTTTGATAATAGTGTTTAGATTATAACCTCTTTTATTTTGATTATGCTGATAAATAGTAATCAAGAAATATTGTCTAATGGGTTATTTTACCATCTCCTTTCTCCAGCATGAATTTCATCATTTGGTGTCTAAATCTAGAACATCTGATTTTAGTCACATCATGTAATTTTCATTGAAGATAGGGAATAAATATATATCATGTAATTAAAAAAAAAATTCACCAGTTCAATATTGTCCATATCTGTATAATTTACACTGTCCATATCTGTATAAATTACACTGTCCATATCTGTATAAATTACACTGTCCATATCTGTATCAATTACACTGTCCATATCTGTATCAATTACACTGTCCATATCTGTATCAATTACACTGTCCATATCTGTATAAATTACACTGTCCATATCTGTATAAATTACACTGTCCATATCTGTATAAATTACACTGACCTACTCTGTATTATTACACTGTCCATATCTGTATAAATTATGCTGTTCATATCTGTATAAATTACACTGTCCATATCTGTATAAATTACACTGTCCATATCTGTATAAATTACACTGTCCATATCTGTATAAATTACACTGTCCATATCTGTATTATTTACACTGCCCATATCTGTATAAATTATGCTGTCCATATCTGTATTATTTACACTGTCCATATCTGTATAAATTACACTGTCCATATCTGTATAAATTACACTGTCCATATCTGTACATTTTATACTGCCCATATCTGTATAAATTACACTTACCTACTCTGTATTATTACACTGTCCATATCTGTATAAATTACACTGTCCATATCTGTATAAATTACACTGTCCATATCTGTATTATTTACACTGCCCATATCTGTATAAATTATGCTGTCCATATCTGTATTATTTACACTGTCCATATCTGTATAAATTACACTGTCCATATCTGTATAAATTACACTGTCCATATCTGTACATTTTATACTGCCCATATCTGTATAAATTACACTTACCTACTCTGTATTATTACACTGCCCATATCTGTATCAATTACACTTACCTACTCTGTATTATTACACTGTCCATATCTGTATAAATTACACTGTCCATATCTGTATAAATTACACTGTCCATATCTGTACATTTTACACTGCCCATATCTGTATAAATTACACTTACCTACTCTGTATTATTTACACTGCCCATATCTGTCAGTTTTGTATTATTTGATATTTATTGCATTCTATTTATATACACTGAATGTTCTGTTTGGACACAAAGAACTTCCATTTGATCATGGATCAGATGAATGAAAATAAGAATTCCAACAACTGATAGGTAAAGTTGCAGTGTCCAAGGTATTAATATAAAATCTTAATAAGGTGAAGAGTTATCATTTATCAGACTTGTTAAAATAAACGACTTCCATAGTCATGGTCATTGGTCAAATAAAATTGTAAAGACCTATCAGGTCAATGTATATTTAAGTCAAAGGTCAACATATGAAGCATATGGCAAAATTCTGTATCAAAACGGCTTTCATTTTTGCTGCATGGTAAGCAAAATGGGATGAAATATGACACCTCTAAGATTAGCAATAAATGTAGTTTGCTGACAAGGATAACAAAGTGTCAGGTTTGCTGACCTTCTGCCTTGATTATGTTGAGATATATAATACGATGTATATTTATTTTTTGGGGGGGATGTGTGATGTTCTTTTTAGATATAATTTATATCAGGTTTAGGGTAGCATAGCTTGACATAACTTCCAATCAGGGTATCAGAAAGTTTATTAAAAACAAGCAATTACAGTAAAATGGGTCAAAGTTTGTTATAACAAAATACAGTTGATCTTGATTTAATCTCTGATTATGACCTGATTAAATTAATTATAAACTGTACTACTGAACTTGTCTTAACCTCCAATTAGAATATGATAATGTTTTGTAATATGATAATGTTGGGTATGACAAAATACAACTGAACTAGACTTAACCACCATTTAGAATATGATAATGTTGGGTATGACAAAATACAACTGAACTAAACTTAACCGCCATTTAGAATATGATAATGTTGGGTATGACAAAATACAACTGAACTAGACTTAACCGCCATTTAGAATATGATAATGTTGGGTATGACAAAATACAACTGAACTAGACTTAACCACCATTTAGAATATGATAATGTTGGGTATGACAAAATACAACTGAACTAGACTTAACCACCAAATACAATAAGATAAAGTTGATTATAACAAAATACAGTTGCCTTTGACAAAAGTTAAAACCTGATTAAAATTGATTAAAAACAAAATATGATTGCACTTGATTAACCCCCAATTATAATGTGAGAAACTTATGAATAAAAAAAAAAGAAAATTGAAGATGACTTAACCTCCAATTATGATATGTTGAAGTTGTTCAAAGACAAAATACATGTGCACTTGTCTTTTCCAGTTATGATTTCCGAAAGTTGTTAAAACAGATTAAGTGATCAGTGTTTGATGTAACAGCAACTGTTTCAATAGAACCCAGATTTGTTATTAAAGCTAATTATCAAGGTAGAAAGGCATGGGAATTCATATAAGAATATTTTTAGTATAGGGACAAAAAAATACACTATAGGATTTGTTTTGTGCTAAAAATATAACTATTATTTATTTATTGAAATGTGTTTGTGCACCACAGTTTAATTATGACTAAGTGGATAATGACGTCAGAATCTACGTAGACGACAGGTAACTAGGGACAACCCGCTGACTGAACAGCGCAGAGATATTGCTTTGTGGACAATAAAGACATTGATCGTAGGAATATCTTGAGGGATATTGGTACCGTAAATGGGAGGGTGCGTAGTTTGTAATTCAGATAACAAGACTCAACACTCTAGTCTGCATTCATCAATGAAGCTAATTAATTTCATTGCTTACCTCATTACCTAAACCTGATGATTTTATACCTGTAAATGGAAGGGTTGTCTGTAAATCATTTGTATATGGTACATGTCATATATCTGTTTGTTTTATACATTCCAAGTGGGGTATTGAAGTGTTTGGACAATAATAGGAAGTGGGTTTGGGAGTATTGGGATAGAAATAGGAAAAGGGGATTTGTAGTTTAAGGATGGTGATAGGAAAAGGAGATTGGGGGTATAAGGATGGTGATAGGAAAAGGAGATTGGGGGTATAAGGATGGTGATAGGAAAAGGAGATTGGGGGTATAAGGATGGTGATAGGAAAAGGAGATTGGGGTATAAGGATGGTGATAGGAAAAGGAGATTGGGAGTTTAAGGATGGTGATAGGAAAAGGAGATTGGGGGTATAAGGATGGTGATAGGAAAAGGAGATTGGGAGTTTAAGGATGGTGATAGGAAAAGGAGATTGGGAGTTTAAGGATGGTGATAGGAAAAGGAGATTGGGGGTATAAGGATGGTGATAGGAAAAGGAGATTGGGAATTTAAGGATGGTGATAGGAAAAGGAGATTGGGGGTATAAGGATGGTGATAGGAAAAGGAGATTGGGGGTATAAGGATGGTGATAGGAAAAGGAGATTGGGGGTATAAGGATGGTGATAGAAAAAGGAGATTGGGGTATAAGGATGGTGATAGGAAAAGGAGATTAGGAGTTTAAGGATGGTGATAGGAAAAGGAGATTGGGAGTTTAAGGATGGTGATAGGAAAAGGAGATTGGGGGTATAAGGATGGTGATAGGAAAAGGAGATTGGGAATTTAAGGATGGTGATAGGAAAAGGAGATTGGGAGTTTAAGGATGGTGATAGGAAAAGGAGATTGGGGGTATAAGGATGGTGATAGGAAAAGGAGATTGGGGGTATAAGGATGGTGATAGGAAAAGGAGATTGGGGGTATAAGGATGGTGATAGGAAAAGGAGATTGGGGGTATAAGGATGGTGATAGGAAAAGGAGATTGGGGGTATAAGGATGGTGATAGGAAAAGGAGATTGGGGTAT